TCCGTTTGCACCCGTAATGTTTTAAGTATTTGTAAACTGTACATGTAAGCAATGAGGTTCGACAAATTAAAAATATATAACAAGCCTGAATTAAGGCAACGTCATGGAAAATTTGTTGTTGTATTCATTTTTTGTTAAAGCTATACACGGCACGTTCAATTGAGTATGAAGACAATAGATTCACGCGGGTGGCATTCGTCTGAGGTACTGTCGGACATCACTGTATTCGTCACGAATACTGACGCTGGATGCACAGGGTTTATCGGTTCACTTAGGTCAATTGACTTTCCTTCAACATGCTTGTTCTTTTGTTCCATCAAAATCGCATGTCGTCGACATGTTATCTTGTTATTCCCTGCTTCAAAGAAATAACGGCATTGGTAAGTAGCTCCAGACTTCAAATCCCCAGAGCTACTGATACGTCTTTACTGCCGTCGTCCAGTTTCTTTATAAAACGTTAGTGGTTAAACCATCACTAGAGGAGTTCTAAAGTTGATAACCAATTCAATCGAACTCCCCAGAAACCCTTGGTCAAAATGTTTGACCAAATATGCAGGATGAAAGGCTGCCGTTATGTTGATTGTAGACCCATTAGCATGCAATTCGGCGACAAGGTGGCGTCAAGTCAAATCTGTTTTGCATGTAAGTTGAACAAGAGCAACTCGAAGTTTCGCCATCAATGCGTCGATATCTAGCGTAGCCTTGTTTCGAGGCAAACCATATAGTGGATGTCGACCGCACAACTTCATATTCACCTGCGGCTGCTTGTTCTTTTTTTCAAAGAAATCGCGCACGAATAGTCACAGTAAGTTTCTTTGCTGACCATTGTGTAATTTGATCTTGACGCATGCAAAACATTTCAATAGTCGCCTTTGTTAAAAGATTAAATGCTTTGAGAGGCGATGCATCACGAATACTGTGGACGAGCATGGTGTTGTTACCGCTTTCGACAAAGTTAGTGGCGCGCCACCCGAACAGAGAACATAGTTTCATTGGTGGGGCAAGAAGGTCTTGGTGATGCGTGCTTGTGGCCGAATCTGTGCTCGACGTCGTGAAAATCTTTGACATTTAAATTTTTTTAACAATTTCCATTTGCATATTCACAAATACAGTCCAAATGAATGGGATTAATATTTACGATGTATGTGGCAACATCATCCCCAAACTTTCTTCTTACCGTCGAAAGAGCTGCGTTGTGGTCGATCTCGGACTCTGCTGATTAAATTTTCCACAGCATTTTCAAATCCAGATTCAGAACATCCGAAATTTCGTTTGATATTGTGCAAAATATGCAAAGTATAGAATGTATTGTGCAGGCTGATACCTGTGGTTGCGTATACTTGTTTCACGGCATCTTGTATCTTTCCACGGTCACACATTAGCGCGACATTCACTAAGTTTATCCCAACCTTAATACAATGAATGAAAACCATGAAATGTTGTCCTTGCTCTCCACTTCATGAAGGCAGTGGCCAACGTAACGCTTTGTCCATTTCTGTCTCGACCAATGAGAGATAGTATCACGCCAATAAATTTGTGATATCGTGAATGCGTTCCATCGAAGCCAACCACCGGAACATTATAAATTTGGCTGTTAACAGACACTCCAAAGGCCACAAACAAGCGGAAAATTGATTTCCTTGCTCCAGAGCGCCACAGTGCTAGATCGAAGCACGCGCTTTGATTTAAATGTGGAGCTAAAAGCTCAAAAGACGACTTCCATTCGCATTCCATCTCTTCAATGACCGCATCTTTTTTTCGTAAGTCTTATTTCGATACTTTTGGAAGTTGGAACCGTCACGGACGCGGACTAGCGCCACAAATGTCTTGCGCTTGATGCCCTTATCACCTCGAGCCGTAGCACTAAAATTAAGAAGAAGCTTGATTTGACGTGCTGAAGGCTTGACAGTCGCGAGGCACACATCCGAGTGAACATCGTCAAGCGTCGAAATGTTGTGCTCAGAAGATGCACCTTTCCGCTGTCGCCTCGTCACGCGGACTTCCCACGGGCACCCGTCTTGTGGGCACATATACGTTTTGCTTCCACCACAACACCTCTCGACCTTGCACTGTCGGTTTCGATTTAAATAGTAGTCCTGTATAAACATAGTTGCAGCAGTGCCCGTCTGGAAATTGTGTCCCTTCGACAGTACATTGGTACCGTAAATCTCTTTTATATCAATCATCGCCTTTTTGGGAGAAACCTTAGTGTATTATTTTATGTTTCTACATAATTTTGACTTTACCAGGACACCTTACAAATAACTTGTGTGGTCCTCATTAATAAATGGTGTAGCCACATTAATTTCGCTCTATGTAGGCTCGTCTCAGAACTGGTGCTGGTTTCAGCACTTTTGCGCAAATCTACTACTGGTTTCGGGATTTGTTCGAGTATCGGCCGACTCTTTAGCCAGTCGCAGTCCGATACTGCAACATTCGCTACTGCCGATCTTGTCCAATATAGTAAACGCGAAGTAACAGGGCACTAGCTCTCGCTGCAGTCAGTGGGAGCTTACGACTCACTGTTGCCGGTGCGTAGCACCCAGTACCCCGTTACAATCACTTATTCGAGAGACAAGCTTGACAAAAGTTTGCTCAATGACACCTGCTACGAAACGAGATTTTTTGTAGAGCATGCCTCCTTCAATTTTCACCTTGATTGTGTTGCATGTCAACACGACAGAAGAGCAAGGTGCTTGCGATTTTGCATGCAGATAATGTAGCAAGAAGACCTTTCAAGTTGTCCAGCATAAGGTTTACCGGCGACACGATGAGGCAACTGTCTGTGAAACTTCTAGGGTGAGACGATAGCGAAGATCATTTTGAAGATAGCAATGACCGCTAAGATCGCTTGATGACTTGGTCATTGCAAAACAGAGTGCTGAGTTGTAGCTGAAGTTGCAACTCGGACAAGGACATTGTCCACCGACGACGTCCTTGGCATCTTTGAGACACTAATCGCGTCGGAGATAGAGATGGACTGGGAGGTAGCAATGCAGAAAGAAATAGGATTCTATGCGATGCTGACGATTGCATCCGTCTCACTTATTGCTAGTTTTGTTTCTCTAGAATGCTTCATCGATGCACAACGACACGAAGACATGACGATCGTAGCACGCCCTAGACTGCCGTTGATACTTCGCACATCTGTATGACCTCAAACTTCCGGATAGCCGTTGGTGGCTATCCTTTGGTAATGTCTGCTCCGTCTGATTACCGATACATCGTGTCTGCGATGCTCGCACTATCCACGAGGTAAGAGAATCAACAAAGCAAAAGAATGTCAAGATAGTCGTATATCTGCTGCCCGAACGTAAGCACGAGCTGGATGTAGATTGAATCATACATGAACCATCAGTCTAAGGCATCAACGCACTGCTTGATACAATGCATCGAGAGCAAACAGCAGGCTCAGCAGGCTCATAAGACCTGCAGCCACGACAACGGCAAGGTCACTACTTTCTTTTTCGTTCACAGAGCGTCGTACAGAAGGGCTGAAACCTTACTGCGATTCGGGTAAGCAACGCAGAGGCTGTACAGCTTCATCTGGTCGCTTCTTGTATAGATACGTGGCATCAATGAAGATGTCAAGCCCATGTACGAGATGGATTGCCATTGTGTTATGCATACTGAAGAATGACGAGACGCGACGACAAAAACAGTGGTCGTCATCAGAACGGACTCTTTCCGACGTGTGCAATGACAATGACCAAGAAGAACGCGAAAGGCTCAAAGGCGTCACGTTTTTAATTCACATCAGTCTCAAACCCACGAGCGAACCTGTACGTCAGGTACTTTGCTATACCTGAAACCTGCACGTCAGCCGCGAAGACGCAATCAAGCGACATACATTCAATACGTTGCCATTGGAAAGGGCGTCGACAGTTCGTGTTAGCAGCACCACTTGTGACTTTACAACATTTGCAGTGTGCAGCATCGTACCGTTTCGATCTCGTACACAGTCAATGGACCCTAAACAGCTCATCGATGGCCACAGCTGGCACGACAACGGCACAATCGCTATGGCCGTTTGGTCGCGTAGTGTTGTACGCTCGTCCGTCGACTTGCCCCGAGAAGGATTACCAATGCAATGTCGCGTTGTAGTTCGCGTCGAATGGTCCAACGTTGGACGACACGTGACTACTTACGTCTGTGACAGTTGACTGACGGCTTACGATGGCACGACAATGTCGCCGCTCGTCCCACTATGCATGGAGACAAGCGATTCCCAGCTGGGGACGCAGAGCCCAGCTGTTTCAACAGAGTATGAAGACATAGAGGTTAGATTGACAGGTATATTCATACACGCCGTTTGTTTCACCGACATCGGCTTTACGGAGTATTAGCTTCTACGAGAGAATGAACAAACACCGCCGCGTGCATATCTGAACCTTTCGACAGTATGACCAAAGGTGTACATTCACGCGTCGTCTTGACGGAGTGCCTGCGACAAGACGCAACGTCAATTGGTGACACGGACAGCATCGTTGCCTCTGTCTTGACCTCCTCCGTCCATGAGAGCAAAGAAGAGAACCATAGCAGACGTATTGCTTGCACGCGTGGACGAAACGCCAGAGCGACCGCAGTCTCAGTATCGAATCATGCGGTGGGGTGTGGCGTTTGCACTAAACTCGAGAGCGTGTGAACATAATGGCGAGCGCATCTGTACATTTTTGTGCGTCAGTTTACTGCTGTAGTTCGCCACATCTCGTGGCATCCGTGAAGACGACTGGGAGCGAGTTCTAAGGGCCATGAGACGATGCCGAAGCTCAAGCTGATCATAGCATTGCGTTCGCTGCCGACGATGTTGACTCTCGACAGCATTCTCAGCGACGAACAGTGCGTATGATGCAGCCCATTCGAGGGGCCTCCAAGCGCGACAGACGCGTCTTCACTCGACTTCGTAGTGGCAAAGAACGAGGTGTCACTACGCGTAGCAGTACGTAGCAGACATGAGAGTCAAGGGATCGACCAGAGGCACAACTGCTCAAGACGAGTCAATGGCAGTGCTCCCCTACTGGCATCGATACTACGTCTGTCAACGTGTGCTATTGCCGTCAGAAGAGCTGATCGAGCGCAAGCTGAGTGTTGCTGGACTGACTCTCTTCCTTGTCAAGCGTGACAAGAAGGTCTCGGAAGCTGCTACCACGTCAACACGAGTCGGTATCGCTACAAGACGACAAATGAGCTCAAGTGCCCGTACGTGCTCTGAGTCCGGTAGCGAGTCCCCGCGCGTCGTCTCGGGCCGTATCTTCGGTTCTGATCTTGCAGTCCACAAGTGCGTCTTGTGGCAACGGATCCTCAGAACGACTCGCTCCTCTGTACACACACATGTGGCGGGACGGTCTTCAGCATCTGGAAAGCTGGCGACCCCGTGTTAACCTGAGCGCCCCACGTGGCGTTTGCTCTTGTCGCTGGCCTCTAACCAGTCGAGCAACCGGTCGACTCGCTCTCTGTCGATCGTCGCGTCAAACAGAGCACATGTTGACGAATGGATTAAAGTCGTTGGAGCTGCTGGCAGCGGTTGTCTCAACGTCCAGTTGGGTCTCTCTCTGTGTCTCTTTCTCTCTCTCTCTCTCTTCCGATGTCAATCCCTTCTCCACCCCCTTCTCTTCCTCCTCATCGTCCCCGTCGTCCCCTCCTCAAGGAACGGGGGAAGGAGCCAGAAATGGGCCACTGAGCCGTACACATCGGTGGCATTTTCCTGCTAGCCAGTAGCACCTGCTGTCGCGTCGCTTTTCTATTGCTCGCGGTAGACACACTCGCAGCGGGAACCCCACAGGGGGAGGGGGAGAGAGGAAGGTCCGCTCTACAGCAGTACGCAAAACAACAGCAAGCGGCACACGTCGCGCTCGTGGCAATCAGAGCCACACAAGAACCGATCGAACGGACATCAACAAGTACAGCGCATACTACTGTCGCCCTCGTGGCAAGGCGTCTCTCTCGTTGCTACTGCTGCGCCTGTTACTGCTGTGATGACTCGGGGTCTTTATTTTACAAAGTTTCAAGACGAAGACGAACATGCACCGAGCGCAACGGCAACTGCAACAACAACAACAACAACAACAACAACAACAAGTGCAACAAATATCACGAATTCGAGTACCAGTAGTTCGGAAGAGGGCAACACGACAACGACGCGGAGATTCGAGTTGTCGAAAAGTCGCAATGGACTGCCCACGTTGAACCGAAGTGCGTTCGAGCGCAGTCTCAATCGAAGCGCTTTCGAGGCGAACGGGTACGCAAATGGCGGCGGCATGGACCGAAGTTTCAACCGCAGCGACGTCGAGCGCAGTTTCAACCGCAGCGGCCTCGAAGCGAGCTTTGGGCAGAGTGGGTTCGACCACAAGTTTGAGCAAAGTGGGTCCGAGTCGAACCTCAGTGCCAGTCGCAGTGGACTGGACAAGAGCTTCTCGCACAGTCAATTGAATCAGAGCCTGCAGCTCGTGGACGGTCAGGCGTCCATGATCGCAATGCTCGGGCGCGTGGAGAACCCAATGATGGGCTCTGTGGTGATCATGAACCGCGTCGACTCGGCGGCAGATAGCCTTCGGCTGCGCAAAGAGGAAGCGGAACGTCAAGGCTGCGAGAGTGTGATTCCGTTCCCAGCTTTGACGCGGCGCTTCGAAGTGAATCTGCTGTCGCAACGACACATTGGACTGCTCGTGTCGACTGGGTTTGCCGGTATTATGCTCACGTGTTTGTCCCGGGGCGTGCTCCCGCTGCTGAAACAGGAGCTGGGGATGCAGGCGCATCAAGCCGACGCTGCGGCCGTGCTGATCCAACTTCCGTGGTCCTACAGCTTCATTTGGGGCTTCATCTCGGACGCAGTGCCGATTCTCGACTCCCGCCGCAAGGCGTACATGATCCTCGCGTGGATGATGACCATGCTCGCGTGCTTTTCCATGGCTCTGCTGGACCAATTCGTCTCGTACCGAGCGATGGACAATGACGAGACGTCTGCCGACGTGTTACGGCATGCTGCTTCGCTCATGGACGTCTACGTCGTGTTGCTCATGTTGGCGAACTTTGGTTGCATCGTGGCGCTCGTGATCGGCGAGACGTATGTGATTGCCCAAACGCGTCGGGAACGCCTGACTGTTCGTGGCGGGACGCTTGGCACGCTGCTGATGGCCCAGTATGCAGGTCAGTTCTTCGGCCAAGTGATTGCCAACTACGCGATCTTCCAGATCTCGGATGCCGGGGCGACGGCTAAGGTCACGTTGCGACAGACTATGCTGTTCTTCGTGTTCTACACGATCGTGCCGCTCATCGGACTGTGCACGTGCTTTTACGAGAAGGGCGACCCACCGGCGATCAATGCAGCGCGCGATCGATACAACCGGGCCACCATTGGCGACACGGCAACGTCCGTGTCCGAGCTCCAGCGAGCGTACATTACGGCATCGAACTTCTTCCAGCGCTTGTTGCTGGCTATCCGTGGCCACTGGATTCGCCTGCGCAGTGCGCTGGGCAAAGAGTCGACGTCGCGGGTCATCCGGTTCTTGATTGGGTTCATCCTCATGGCCGAGTTCTCGCTCACGTATCCGATCCATCGCCTCGAGCAGTGGTGTGGCATGACGGCCAAAGCTGCAGCAACGCGCAGCAGCATGTCGGAAGTGTTTTCAATGCTGCCCGTGATCGTGTGGAAATACTTCTTGCTGAATCACGACTGGCGCTGGTGCATGTTCTCGAGCTTTATCATTGTCACGCTAACCCCTCAGCTCGTCTACTACCTCATGGCCACGCTGCACCCGGCATCCCGGAACGTCGATGTCTACGCAGTCGTGTCGGCGCTCACGTCTTTTTTTCGCAGTGGCATTGTGATCTTGGAACTTGCTGTCACGGCTGAAATCGCTCCTGTAGGTGGCGAAGGCGCGTTTGTCGGCATTGTCGTGTCGATCGCTTCGAGTATGCGGCTCATGTCGAACACTGTCTCGAACTCGATTGGGTTTATGTTTGAAGGTGTCGAGCACTCGGTCAGCAGCAGGTCCGACCCCGACAGGATGCAAGTGGCGTTTGCTTTGGCACTGTCGCACATCATTCGAGCCCTCGGGCTCGTGGCGCTGGTGTTTTTGCCAAAGCAGAAGCGAGATCTCCAGCGTCTGCATCGGTATGGCGACAAAAACAATCGATGCACAACGTGGTGGATCCTCGCATGCCTCGCTGTGGCTTTCGTTGTGAGCACGGTGTTTAACGGATTGGCCATTGCATCGTCAACGTCTTGCTTGACAATTGTTGGCGGCAGTGGCTGCTAGAGTACGCGAGCAAGCGAGTGAACAACTGAATGCTCGGATAAATTATGATGATGAAGGCTGGATGGAGCGCGAGGCAATGGATTTGCTGGTGTCAGAGGTCGGTCCAGCGTGTACACACATCGTTGTGATGTGATATGGCTCGACGACGGTGTCTTGTTGATAAGGTCGTACTGGGTCAAAAGCTGGGCGTAGAGATGCGCGGCAGCGGATGTGGCCGAGAGAGATTCTCGTAATCGACAGCGATTGAGATGGAGCTCTCGGAAGTAGCTTTCCCGCTGGACTGATTGCTGTGTCGAGAGACGATTGTGATGAGTCTGAGCTACGTGATCAGGAAAATGACAGTGTCGGGGAAGCTCTGACCTGCTAGTTCATTGATGGTTTGCCTGTAGAGCAGCGTTCCCATTGCTTTGTCCTGCTTCTCTAGTGAAACGTGGGACGAGTAGGAGCCATGACGTGTGTTGTAGCTTTTATCAATGTCTGCATGACTTGAACTTGCCATTGCGAAACGCGCGAGGAGCACCATGATTCGTGTAGCTACCACGTGGTTCGCTGTTGGCATGATAGCAATGGAATCGTATCCGAGCTGGAGAATTGAACCTGAGCTGGTACCGATTACGCGCGTGTGGAATCACGAAAACAGCACATGGACGTTGACTGTGTCTACTTGGTACTTACCAAGACTCGAATTGCGCTCGACGTAGCTTTTGTTTGGAATGTGCGCTCGAGTTTGCAGCTTTCGTGTGGACAATGCTCTCGTATGACTTCTGCAATGAATGTCGACACGAGTAATCTACGTGTCGACATGCTGTACACTTCACCCGATTCGGCCTTTCTTGCGTTGCCAGGTGTCAAGAGTCGATGGTGGTGGTAGCTCATGTCGTTATCGATTTGTCACGATTGAGCATCACGTTTGAGCTGACAGGAGGTTGTTCATTGTCCGTGATGTCACAAGTGTACAATCAAGTGCACGCTGATACTGAGGTTGTCCAAGAGAGTATATTCCCTTCACGTGCAATGAGCCGCGAAAGTTGTTGCGATGGAAATATGCAGACCCGATCTTGTTGTCTGCGTTGTGAAGGGTTCAAGTGTTGCTCTCGCTTTTGAACTAACGTGACCAAGTCGGTGTGCTACAACTACTTGCGCCAAGGCTGCAGTGAGGAACCAGACTTGTCGAGTCGAACATGGTAATACCGTTGGGTCGAGAGCCTTGAAGCCAATGACCGATATCAGGTGGAAACTAGCACTACTGAGTGAACCATTCCACAGGTCGAGCACGACACTGATGTTGTCTGCAACATGTAATGACAGCGTCTTGATTGACGAAACCTTTCGAAAGTTGTTATGCTTTGTGTGTGATGTATCTGCCTCTACCTACCATTCTCACGTCGAAGCTCAGTGCTCAACCTATCGAGTAAATGCTGCTCTCCTGCTGAAGTAGGTGCAACAACATGATCTTGTCAAGATTCGTTCCGTATCTTCCTGCATAACAACGTGTTTGACAACGTTTATGGTTTCAGGTATCCGAAAGCACAAATCGGCCTCTAGTAGTAACCCACGAAAGCTCTTGTTTAGCTTACACAACAGAGCAATGCAAAAGAACGAGCAAACGAGAGCGGTGCGCTTTGTGCATCAAACTGCATCGCGTACGTTCTCCTTCTTCTCGCTCATCTTCGACGTGCCTCCTATACCTTTCGGTCCATCCAGATACGCTGGCGTCCACCTCGACGCCAGGGTTTATAATTTACTTGAACGGGGCGAGCCAGTGGTCCCTCCCCCGAGACTGCGTCTAGTAATCCCTTCCACGCGCTCCAAACCCCTGCGCTAGCGCTCACCCAGTACGGCATAGCTGAAGCCACGCTCGACCGACATGCCCGAGCTCCCAATGCTGCTGCTAAAGACACTGGCGACGTCTTCTCGGGCCCCGAGGAACGAGTTCTGGTCGCTCGTACTCACGTCGTCGCCAATGTCACTCACGCGCCGCTCGCGCTCGAGCAAACTCCGAAGTCGGTCGGCCACTTGGGCGGCCGTCGGACGCTGCGAGGGCTCGAGCGTCAGACACTCTGTCACGAGCGTCGCCACTTCCCGGGGACAGCGGTCCGACAGCGACGGGCGAATCGCTCCGGTCCGCAATAGCTCCAGCACGGCCTTCTCGGGCAGCGGCTGCCCGTTCGACAGCGTCACGTCCGAGAACGGCAGTTCGTGGCTGTCGAGTTCCGACAGAATGACGCCGAACGAGTAAATGTCGACGGCCGTCGAGTAGCGCGAGTTCCCTGAGAGCACTTCCGGGGCGATCCACCGATTCGTCCCAACGGACCGCGTCATGGCCAATTCGCACTTGGCGTCGTCTGCTTTCTCGAGCTCCGTCTCGTCGTCATTGTCGTCGGGTACCCCATTAGCTGCTGCCCCTCCTCCTCCTGTGCCTCTTGTACCTCCTCCTGCAGCTCTGTGCTCGCCCGAAGGGACGTGCCGGGGACCGTACCGACTCATGCCAAAGTCCGCCACTTTGGCCGTGTAGGCCGAATCCAGTAAGATGTTCCGCGACTTGAGGTCCCGATGCAAAAGCGGTCGCGGCTGCCGCGCGTGCAAATACGTGAGCGCTTCGGCCACGTCGAGCGCCATGGACAACTTGGGCGAGCGCCACGCGCGGGCGCGGGCGTCGTGGCGCGTGCAGACCAAATACTGGCGCAAGTCGCCGCCGCTCATGTGCTCGAGCACCATCTGAAGGTCCGACGCCGTGGCCGGCGCGTCCGCCGTCGCGGCGTCGGCTTTCAGCGGCGGCGAGATCCACGCAGCGCCGTAGAACGCCACGACCTTCGGGTGGCTCAGCGACGCGAGGAAGCGGATCTCGGCCACGAAGCGCCGGAGCGCACTACTGCCGCGTCGCCCATGCGACTTGGTCCGCGAGTTCGTGCCGGCGGTCGCCCCCGACCCGCCGTTGCTACTGCGGCGGCTGTGGCGACTCGCCTTGCGCCACGACTTTGTCCGCGGGAGCGCAGGCGGCAGCGGCGGCGACAGTTTCTTGACCACGACCGTCTCGCCCAAGTACGTCGCGAGCCACACAGTGCCGTAGGCGCCGGCGCCCAGCGGTCGGATCGGCGCAATGTTCTCGGCGTTGATCCGCCACGGCGCGAGCGCCTGTTCGTCTTCGAGCGTCAGCGTAGCGGTCCGCGGGGGTGGGGACCCCCGACGCCGTCCGAGTTGGTACATGGGCAGCGACGGCGAGCCGACTGGTGGGCGGACGTCGCTCGCGCTGCTCTTCGGCCGTTTGCAGCAGAAGACCATGAGCACGCACGCCGTGAGGAGGAGCAGGAGCGGAATGCTGATGCTGAGCCAGAGCTCGAGCGCTTCGTCGTCGCGGTGGGAAGTCGCGTTGTTGCTACTGCTACTGCTACTACTACTGCTGCTGCTGCTGGAGGCGGTCGTCGAGCCGTCCACGACGTCGACCGCTGCTGCTGCGTTGACGTCACCTGTTGCTGCTGCTGCTGCTGCATTGGCGTCACCTGTGGCGGCGGCGGCGTCGTCAGTGTCGATGGATGGGGTCATAGCGTCGGTGGCAGCGGTCGTGGCGTTCGTCGTCGCGTCCGTTTGCAGGGATCCCGAACTGGTCGAGAGGGTGAGTTTCAGCATTTCCGAAGACACTTCGCCAATGTCAATTGCGCCCAACGAGCGGCGCATCTTGCGCTGGACAACCCAAAGGGGCAAAGACCCGAAGAGCTGCAGTTAGCGCCCAAGAAGGAGACAAATGGAGAAGAAGAAGAAGAAGGAGGAGACGATGGAGGAGACGAAGATGGGAGAAGTGTGTGTGGGGACGCGTCGCAGCTAAAGGGCGTTGGCAAGTGGCCGGTCGTCCCTCGCAGTAGTGTGGCGTCGTGTCGCCTGGAAAAGGGCCAAGAAGAGGCTGTCGCGCGGCTGTCTGTCGCGCGGGTGTGCCGTGGCGAGCGAAGTCGCAGGATAGCGACCGCGCAGTCTGTGAGCGAGCGGAGTGGAGTGGCGTGGCGTGGAGCGGAGTGGAGAGAGGTGACGACGTGGACGAGTGCGTGAGTGAGTGGAGAGATGAGATGCGCAGCGGGTGCGGCGAAGGACCGAGTGCCGGCGACGCATGCAACGAGAGCGGGCAGAGGCCGTCGTACTGACTCTTCGCGGGGCACTCGCGCAGTGACATGTGCATCGGAGGGGATGCACGAAGCGAAGAGCTCGAGATTAGTCGCGAGAGATATTCGGTCGATCGGGCCGTCCGTCGTCGAGGCGTTGTCACGAGACATGGGGCGCGCAGCCACAGAGGCGGACGTCGAGGCGGAGGTTGAGGCAGTCTGCCAGCCACTGCTCCGTCAATGGGACGGCCGTTTTCGACCATACGGTCGTCGTCGAAGGTCCTGCGGCGCGTGTCTCGTGGTTGCACACGATACCCGACGGACGAACGAACGGACGGACGGACGGACGGACAGGTGCAAACACAGAGATGCGACCGTCAGACACACTGTTGATGCAGTGCAGTGCGATATGTGTGTGTGTGTGTGACAGTGTGTGTGTGTGTGTCTCTCTCTTTTTCTGCATTGATCCGCACTTGTGCGCTCAACATCGGCAGCGGATGTCGATTGAGCGTTGAGCTGCTCGTTGGCTGACCGCCGGCTGCTCTTTGACGGACATTGCAGGCAGAGAGATACATGGCCAGCGCCACCAGGTCCCCCGCTATCACCACAGCTGCCGGCACTATCTGTCCATCTACCCCCTTCCATCATCTACCCATCGGTATCGCTGTCTGTCTGCTGGAAGTGCATCTTTCTTGACTCGTGAACCGACACGAAAATGTTGCAAGTCGATTGCGCGACTGCACTTTCGATCGCGGCTTCGACTCGCTGTCTACCGACCGCTAGCGCCTCTGCCGTCGACAGTGTCTCTCTGTGTGTGTGTACGTGCGTGTGCTCGTTTCTCGCTAGTGCTTTGAGAGGGCATTGTCGTCGTCGTCGTCGATCAACTGATCCGCTTCAACGTTATCGTTGTGATCCAGTCAAGTGCTTGCGCCCCACCTGCCCATCGAGAAGGAGTGCTCGACAAAGAAGAGGTTGGGATCGTCGGACGCGCGGGCGCGGGCGCGACAGAAACGCGACGGCGCTGGGGCTTCTGCACGTCGCATCCGAGCGGGAAGCAGCAGCAGCAGCAGCCGAAGAAGAGGAAAACGAACGCGAGAGTTTGTTGCCCGCCGGCAAGTGGACAACGTCGTGGCTCGATCGTCTTGACCCATTTGACGTTGTCGAGTCAATGCACGACGAGGTGTGTGGCCCTTCGCTGCCTTCAGTGGTCCGGGGGAACCACGTGGGGTCCTACTGACTGAACGCGCTGCTTCCAGCCGCTTTACGAACGCCGAGAAGACGAGCGACGGACAGATGCGACGGCCGTAGGGCGGCCTGAACCGGAACAGACCGAAGGAAAATAATGGACACGACGCGTTGTAACGTGCAGAGCGTCAACGAGCTGCAAGTGGTGGCAAAGACGAGGGAGCAGGAGAAGGAGAAGGAGGAGGAGGAGGAGGAGGAGGAATCCAAACTGGATGGATGTTGTCGTCTTTACAGGAGCCAAGTGGTTTGTCGCGTGGTCGGTCTCTTTCCACGCGGCGCAAAGACGCGGGTCGCTGGTGTCGTTTCCAGCGGCCGATCGAGCAACCGGACAACTGAAGCTCCGAAGCGAGAGGAAGAAGGAGGAGGAGCAGCTCTATCGTCGTCGTCGTCGTCGTCGTCGTCGTCGTCTTTGCTAGTCACTACGTACTTGCACTACGTACTTGCACTGCGTTCCGCGCTGGTTTCGGGTTGACTACCACTGGGACGTCGGACCGTATGACGAATGCGCGCCCTTTTCTCGCGTCAAGAACGAAGTCACGCGCTTTGGCCACTTGTGGGCGTCTGGACGTGCGACTCCTCTCACGTTGCCGGGCGGTCACGACGGACAGTCAGGTGGGCAGACCGACCGACCGACCGACCGATCGGCTGTTCCTGACGATGAACAGAGTGGACATTAGTAACGCTGAGCTTCGGCTGTGCGCCAGCAAAAGACGAACCGCCTCGAGCTCTTTGCAGCTGCTGCGTGTGCGTTCGTTCGCTCGTTCGCTCGTGCACGTCTCACGGCTCTGTTGCAGCTGCTCCTTCTCTTTGCCGCCGGTGACGCGGCCCCCGACACGCGCGCACGACCAGCCACGCAACCGCTGACTGGATCGCAAAAGCGGCGGCGACAAGACGAGCGGATGTCTGTCGATATGCACGAGATGTCTGTCGCCTTACGTGATGGAGGACAGAGTATGACGCTGCTGACCTGCGGCCCGTTCATTCATCAGCTGCTGCTGCTGCTTTGTATATTGTTGACGCGATCGACACGAGAGCTACTACGACGTCCAGCAGCGACTGCCACCACAGCTTTCTCGATGGTTATTCACAAAGCAGCGGACGAGACACAGCGGTCGTAGGTCGATCCGTTTGCGTTAAAGAAGTCGGTCTCGCAACGACGTACGCAACAGTACGATGACGTCGTGGCTTCGTGTCTGTCTCGAGTGGCACTGGCAGAGGTCCATTGTTTACGTGGATCGACAGGGAATCGGATGACAAGTGCCCGGATTCGGTTCACAAGTTGATGGTGTTGTTGTCGTGCTTTGCTTGTGAGAGCGCAAGCAAAGTCGCACACTCTGACTGTGATACTGTGTGTGTGTGTGTCTTGACCAGGAGTGTGAGCTACGACAGACAGACTCGACGATTGCAGGTGTGCCCCCATCGCCACGACGTGCAGCTCGCGCCATTTTGCAGATTGTCGTGCTTTTGTCAGGTGAAGCGTCGCAAGAACGGACAGCTTGTTTCGCGGCAGGGATCGATCGATGTGTTCGCCTTCCCAAGCTGGCAAAACGGAAGAGCTTGAAGCGACCTCTACGCTCGTGGTCTACGGTACGAGCGGACCAGCTGTCGGCAGTTCTTCGTCGAGTCAGCGATACAGTGAGCATTGACCCCACCTTAGAAGCCACCGGGAGCTGCCATGTAGACTGTCTTGTGCGAACCCGACACTAACGTTACCCTCGTGAGCAGTGGACTTGATCGATGCGTGTGGATCCCTTTCGTCAAAGGACGCAAACGCTAGTAAGTCATTGACACTACCGACTGTGAGTCATCTTGAGCCTCTCTACATGACGGCCCTTCGCAGCTACTCACATCCATAGCGATTGAACGCAGCAGTCGAATGCAGCACATCGTTTACTTCACTGCGTGATCGACTATTCATTCGGACGTTACAGTATGGGCTGGAGGGCTCTTGACTTGCTCTCGCGCGGAGGGCGTTGGCTGTTACGATACCGGGTATCATGCGACAGCATTGGGGCCCGAGGTTCCCTGCAGCTCGTCGTTCCACGTGGGACACGACACGCGTAGGGCTCACTTGACAAGTGCCGATGGACTGAACAGCGTCAACTAAACACTCCGACGAAGAAAAGAGTTGCAGTCGGACAATTCCTCCTCGTGATCTTCTTCGGATCCAGTGGATCGACCGATGCTAATCGCTTGGGAGTTAGCCCGACGTGAGTGTGCCACAGCGTCGCTTCTTGATTTGACGTGGGTTGTTGACCTCAAGCTGCATGCAATCTAACGTTGTGTCATACGGCACGTTTACGGAACACAGCGCATTGACACCAGAGCGCTGCCTGGATCTTGGATTTGCCCCGTGCAACTCGAAGCGTTGAGGCATCAACAGGATTTCCACGTGGAGAAGGGATCCGCCGACGTGCTGAATCGTGCGCTCGAGCTCGTTGGGACTGACTATCTCGAGCCATGTGGTAGGACGTCCAGCGCTAAGCTCCGCCACGAGGTATCCATTCATACAGCGTTTCAGCACTGTAACTTCACGACAGAAAGCGACTTGAACCAGCTTACGGGAGCAATGTCGACGCCGAGGGGGGGGAGGTATACACGAGAAACATTCGTTGCAGGAAGGGCTTTAGCAGCTCTCGTGGCAACAACATGACTTGCTTACTAACAGTAGAATCGATCAGTTACGACATGTCAAGACGGTCGGTCTCGTGACAACGACCTGAGTGAACGATGTCGATGGACAACGCGCTGTTCAGTTGGTACAGCAGCACAGCTGGTGCGACTTTGACTTGAGGGGATAGTGCGTGTGTCGATGTTACAGTTTGACAGATGAACATCAGCTCGACGTCGCTTCGGTTTTCAGTAAGTCGATTGATTACCAACAGGCGGCTCCAGATACTCTAGTGAGCCGTCACAACAACAACAACAACAACGTCGACGATGTACATCTGAATCAGGTGACAACAGTAATGGACATCTCGTGACCAGACGCTGCTCTCCGGTTTCTTGTCCTTGCGCCGTATCTACAGATCGACCCCACGCAGTTGCCCTTCCCACCCACCACCAGCACACAGCGCCTGTGCCACGCGCCACACAGCTCCGTCCATGCCACACAAGTCGCCACACGCTCGTGTGCTGATACACACACCCCCCCCCCCTGTGTGCCGGTTATAATTTCACACTGCTTGAAGTGCAGCCGCCGCCAGCCACTCTTCTGCACAGTCCGCCAGTCAGTCAGTCAGTCGGTCACTATCCCGTCGTCCTGTGCTGCAGATCGAGTGACGAGTCGTCGGCCGCCGTTCGTTCCCTCGCCGTCAAGCAGGAGCCCACTCCCTTCGTCCCCGCTACGACGTCCGTTGACTCGCCGGCGGTCGACCCGGAGATATCAAGTGGTACGCGTCATTCTCCTCCACGTCCGTGCTCGGCAGCGTGGCACTGGACCTCGTGAGCGTCGGCTTCGACGACGCACTGCCGCCTTCCAGCAGCAGCCGCTCGGTCGACACGAGGGTCTCCCGCATACCCGCCCAGCCCGCCAAGTTCAGCGGCGGCAAGTGCGCCGACGCCCGCGGTCGTCGCGTTCCCCGCAAGGCCGCGCGCGCGGCGTTCCGCGCGTCTCGGTGCTCGGTATCCCGTCGCAAGCGGCGGTTGAGTTTGCGGCGGGCGAGCACCGTCGCGGCCACGAAAAAGGCGATCGTGCCGGCCACGAGGCCCGCCACGAGGCGGAAGTTCGAGCCGTCGACGGCAGGAATGCACCAGTCGTCCACGATGCGGTCGTCCCGGTCCGGCAGCTCACAGGCCGCGAGGCAGATGCAGCCCGCGTCACCGGTGCATCGCGCAGTGGTCGACACGTGGGTACCCGTGAGATAGTCCCGCGTCCACTCGGCGCGACACGCAGAGCAGACGGCGTCGTCGGCGGCGCAGTACGTGTAGTTGGCCATGGGATAGCCGCCGTCGCTTGCGATCATGTACGAGTTCGTACATTCGCCCAGTGGACTGACGGTACACTATCGAGCAAACACCTCAAAGACCCAAATACACATAGTTTGGTCAGTACCCCACAAAGTTTGTACCCCATAGCCACCCGACTACTACTACTGCTACTACTGCTACTGCTACTACTTCAGCTGCTACTGCTTCGCGTACGATATTGCGATCGGTATTCGATTCGAGGGGGCGAGCGGTTCTCTCCCTCCCTCAACAACAATAGACTGACTGACTGACTGACTGAGTGAGTGAGTGACTGACTCGAACGGGTCGCACCTTTTGGCCGCGAATGACGACGTTGAGGCAGTCAAAGCACGAGCGCGGGCGGGTGCAGATGCCTTCGGCGTACCACGTACAGGCGTCGCCGTCGGTCGACGTGTCCAACTTGGGGGCGATCGTCCACTCGTCCGCCGCATCTGCTGCTGCGTCGCTGCCGCTGGTGCTGCGCGCCCTCAGTGCGTCGCTCGTGTTGAGACGTGTGGCGTCAGAGGCGTTCGCACTTGTGGGGCGACTCATCGTACGGACAGCGAGCGAGCGAACGAGTAGTGCGCGGAAGAGAAAGTGAGGACCGGGAGAGCTGATCGGCCAACGACCGAGTCGCGTCTCGCTGGCTCGAGGCGCATCTGCTGCTGATGGGCTCAAAAGGACCGCACGGGCTCTCTGCCTCTCGTTACGGACCACTGCTCGTCGAAGGGCTCAACTGGCTGTGGACGCGACTGGCTGTTGAGCGGTATCGAGAGGGTATGGCCCTCGATTCTGGGACGGCGGCGACCATTACACACGGCGTAAGTACGGCTGAAGAGGCGAACAGAGACAGTGTGGGCGAGCGTCCCATAGAAGCTGCCTGCGCGATGGTCGTGTGACTGGGGCGTGAGAGCCTGTCGAAACGCATAGCGGGCGTCAACTTTGCGCTCGTAGGTGGGGGTAGGGCGGGCGTGGATGGCCGGATGGTGTCCCGGCGGCAGTGGCTCGTGCCTGTACAAACCAACACACTATGTCAACTTAGGATGGGAAGTAGGGATAGGGCACGGAGGGTGAGTGATGATGATTACGATGATGATTACGATAATGATGATGATGCTCGGGATGGTGGGGAGGAGGATCAGGCCATCCCGACGATAGGCACGCGCTTGTGAGGTGACGTAAGACTTGATACACCTCGGAAGCGAATACTCGGATGCATCACACGACGCTTTTCGTTTCAATCACACAGTACGGACGCGCGCGTGTGGAAATGGGGAAACGCCGTCGAGCGGAAAACTCTTTGGCTGTCGTCGAGATGGGACACTTTTGTACGGCGGATACGAACGAGAAAGAACGAACGACCCGCGCGCACAGGGCACTTGTCCATATCGTGTCCATAGAGCCGTTTTCAGTCTTGCCAGATGAGAGATTGATGGGGCTTTGTAGACGTGTGGTAGCTGCATTGCTTTTGTGCCTCTACACAAGAGGCGTCGCATGTAAGCGCTCATCGATGCGTGGGAACAGAGCCGTGTCCGTCAACTACCGGCCGTCCCTTTCTCTCTCTTGGCTGCTTCCCACAGCTTCCGCAGAGGCAGTTTGTATTCGACTTTTTGTCTTTGGGCTTCTTGCCTGCGATCGGTCGATTGGCGTTATTCGTACACCCGAGAGCGACTCGGATGGATGGATGGATGAATGGATGCGTACGTGCCCTTGCTCAAGTGAGCAACAAACGCTGTCAAAAGTTGAGGACAACCTGAGACAAGGGCGGGCGGTGCCGACTCGTTTGACATGTGCAGCATTTGACACCACTTGTGACAGGACAGAAGCAGGTCGGACCAGATGACAAAGTCGATGCTAGCAACGTGATGGGCCGTTTCTTCGTGCCGTCAACAGGTGGAAGACGACATCGCCATTGGGCCATTCTTTTTTTCTCCCGGTGACTGCCTCGACAAGAACCCCACAATCCTTCACTTTTGCCTGAGCTAAGGAAGTCCGCGGAAAACAGTGGCGTCAATTGCTTCGATACGAAACGCTGCCGTCTGCTTTGCAGCGGTCACCCATTATCTGTGGCCACGCAGCAGAGCTCGTGTTTTCGCTCACGAGAAACGGTCGGTCGAAGCGTTTTTGGATTACCGCTATGTATAACTATTTCGCAACGGTCACGACAAGAGACGCCGTTGATCCCGTGAAAGACAGCAGCTGACGATAGGAGGCAGGTCTGCCTACACAGAAGCTACTGACAGACGGTCGGCCGACTCGTGTGTCCTTTACGCTACTTTTGCAGAGCGTGACAGGCCGCAGACATCTGCGGCAACTGAGTCATCGGGCAAGAAGCGATCCGCTCCTTTATTGCACTCACTTCTTCGATACGCTAAAGGAACCTATTGCAGTAACGGCGAGAGCAAAGTCCCGGCACGCGTAGTTGACGCACTCTATGCTCGGACAATCCCCACCCCACCCCTGCGATTGATCGATTCCAGTCTCAGTGATCGATGTCTCGCGCACCAGCAAAAATGTGCCGATGAGACACAAACGTCTGTAAAGTGAACCGCAGAGCGAGGGAGAGAGCAGCAATTCGAAGATTTTGTGAGCGTCTCAGTTAAGTCGAATAACGTCGGGCGGGGCACATATTGACCGTAATACGGTCATAAAGGGGACCCGCAAGCGATAACAAGTTACGAAACCTTTTGCCGCATGTCGATGCTTTGCAGAGTTCGTCCTGCAGTGTAAATGGCGTATTGCGTCGCTCTTCCAGCAACTCGGCTTGTGGGTGTACCGAGCCGTTCCACGGACTCATACTGTTGATGGAATCACGCCGTTTGCACGAGATGCTGTGTCCCAAATGACGCAAAGTCTGATGAAAAGATGCAAACTTACCGCGTACTTCTGACGCCTGAGAACGCACGAGGCAGTGTCATGACTCGGTACGATGGGAAAGTGTGCTGTGACGCAGCTGACATCAAAAGTTGTTATCACACACACCGGCACAGGAAGCTGTGAGCACTGTCCAATAGACCTGCGCTGTTCACACGACGATCAACTTTTGCCCCAAGCGAGTTCAATTGTGCTGTATATCGCCTATCGTCTCCTGCTTGTACTTACTCCGTCCGTCACAGCACTCACTACTTGGGCTTCGCGTGAAATGCAGCAATACATAACCAAGATTTTGCAAGAAGGCCGCTTAGACGGCCCCTCCATACGCGGAAACCAAGGCACTTCCGTGGAACTGACGCCAGCCAGCCACGAGGCCTTGGTATTCCTCCGGGTGGTTGCGGTTCAGTGCAACTGGGTCCTGGAAAGACACCATCAGACATGACCACACTGTGAGTAAAACGATCGCAAACCAAACACCAACGTGAAGTACGTCGTACCTCAGCAAAGCAAACAAACACAGTGTGGAGAGCGGCAATGACAACGTGGGCCAGAGTCATCGCCACGCTAATGCCCACGATGAACCCAACAACCGCCATCATCGCGTAGGCACTCGTGCTCGAGCCCAGGGCCGCAAACCACTCGACTGGCGAAAAACGCACCATCAGCATTCCCACGCAGCACGTTACAACTCCGACTCCCAACGCGCCAAACGAAAGAGCACCCGATGTCAAATCGTCATTGATGATCGCCGTCCAGCCGCGTGTATGGAACAGATCCATCACGGCTTTGCCACTCGCGCGGAAGGGGTAGCCATACACCCCAACGTACACGTAGGCCCACTGATTAATGTACTCCATCACGCCCGCCAAGCAGCTCAAGATGCACTCCGCCATACACGCTAAGCACGCCAGTCCGCCATTGTTCTCTTCACTTGCACGTCGTTTCGCCATATCGGCCATGGTCCTCAGCGCCTGCAAGACCGCTACAATCAACGAGCCAAAGCAAATGGAGCCAAAGCTCGTGGTCATCGAGCGATACAGCGCTCCCGTGGTCGCGCGTGCGGCTTCAGGCTGGTACCACCACGTGGCCACGACCCCAGCAGTCGTGCAGGTCAGAATGTTCTGCAGCACCTGCTGGCCCCAGTAGACCGTCACGAGCATGTAGAACAGAGCCGTGTAGGCAGGGAGACCCACACAGAGTCCGCCGTGACTGCGGCCAGAGCGCGCGCGACGGAGCTCCTGGTCGCACTCGGGGTCCATCTCGCGGAACCACTGGTGCAGCCCCACGCCCGCGACGCCCCATAGAAAGAGCCACACGAGCTGCTGCAGCACGAGGCCGAGCGCGAGCACAAACACAGCCGCGTGGCGCTGCAGCGCGGCACAGGCCGTCTTCAAATTGGCCGACGCAAAGCCGATCCGGTTCTGCACTGCGTAAATGTACCACACGTTAATCGCTGCCAACGCGACACACACGAGCGCAGCCCACAGGTGCACCGAAACCAGCGACAGCGCAACGAGGAGCACAGTGGCTACATTTAGCCATAACGCAACCCGAATCATCGACTCGGCATACGTCAGCAGGACCTTGAGCCAGGCGGCCGAGAGCCCGAGCCCTAGGACACACAATAGACCAATCATCGACCAGGCTGCGGTGGCGCGGGGCGCTTCCTCGTTAGGTGCGGTTTCCTGGTTGTGGTCCATGTCCTCAAGTAGGACCGGCACGCCCTTCGACAAGGCCACGACGGCCACAAGGCCCACGTTAATCAGGAACAGAGCGGCAAAGACGCCGTCGTTGCACTGCGGCGCCCGCGCGTCGAGGCGCTGCGTGTGGACCGCGACGCTGTTGGGCGTTGCGCGCTGCTCTTTGCCGCCGCTCGTGGGGCTCGCGAGCATCGGGTCGGACTCGTTCCGCACGGGCGCGTACATAGCGGCGTGAAGAAGCGATCAAGAAGAAGGAGACGGAGGAGGTCGCGGCAGTGGCAGTAGAAATGCGATTGACAAAAGGAGAATTATTGAAGAAGCAGGAGACGAAAAAGCCGAACAAGAAGACGAATTTCTAAATAGAGCGATGGGAAAAACCTCGCGGAGAGGTACGGTTTTACCTGCCGGTGTGGCGGATAGTGGTGTTCCGTGCACGTCGGTATGTGTTTTGGGGGTTGATACCGGTAAGGACGGTAGTCTTGCTCGCGATACCTGATATCGGACTGGTTCGACGAGCGAGACAGACGGACATGGCGGATGTGACGAGTGCGGCAGCGAGTGACGTCGTGGCGGATGTGCGACCAGCAATGGAGCCGCCTAAAGGTTCGGTAGCTGAATGGGTTCGGTTGGATCGTGAACTGGGAGAAGATCGTGGGGAGCTGTGATAACTGATATATCGGTGCTGGGGGCGGCGTGTGGTATGGGGCAGTAACGCTGCAGTTTGTAGCAGTAGGCAATGCGCCGCTCATGAAGCGCACGAAGTTTACAGTGAACGGGCAGGACCCGTTGAGTGTGGTGGGTGGTGAACTGTGTTGTTTGGCTGGCCGCAAGTGGGTCTTTGTGTTTGGGTTATTTACCGCCTTTTTTTTTGCGTTTTTGAGGTGTATAAGTTTTTGAGGAAACAACTTCGACTGAAAGACACCGAGTCGCTGGTGAGGAAAAAGGCCACAGCGCTGGAACGAGTGTTGACAGCTGTGGTTTTTGTTATTGTATTTGTTTGATTGGCTGCGTTGGTGCTAAACATGAGTGGAAAATGTGCAGTTTGTCTATTGCAACAGTTCGTTCGCTCCGTCTCCGGATCAGAGACTCAGCGCATTGTTTCAGGTGACTCAGTTGCTCTGTTTTCGTTGCGTGCCTTGTTCGCACTCGTCGATATCGCGGCAGTAGCGACTCATTCTGTGCGGCGATGTGCAATGTGTAGTGTTTCCAAGTAGGCGATGTGCTGGTGCTGAATTACAGCTTGACACAGGCGTGGGGGTAGTCCAAGTGAGGCAGCGTGTGATGCATGTCTCGAAGAACAAGGCGTTGTTGTGTTTGCCACGTTGGCCGACACAGCAATGGAAAAGTTACGCTGCACTGATGTTGTGCGGGCTTTAACTCTGATGTGAGAAGCCACACACGCTGGGGAAGATGTAGTACCGTAGTGCTGAGGTCATCCTCGGCCGAGTCTACTGAGTAGCATAGACTTGTTGCTACTACCTGCATGACGTATCGCTACTTTGTTGTCCGAAAATACTCGTGCAGGGTTCAACCGCTCGGATAATCATAGTTACGGTACATGTTTACGTCCACTACGCCCTTTGCCGGGCCGTTTTGCACTTGACGATCCCCACTCGCGCTTTTTTGTCAGCACGTGTTGTCATGAAGTGTATTCTTGGGAGTAGTGATATTCATCCAAGTCCAAGCGCTATACGTTTTCTATCTTGTGCCGAACGAGCCAGCAATATTGATCCATCGTGCAACAGACGGCGATGAACGCTATACAAGTCTCAAAAAACGACTCCGTTTGCGTGATCAACTTTGTCGATTATGTTGTATGCACGCTTACTTGTGAATGTAGATCACCACGGACGACGCTGTACAAACAAGGTCATCATCTCCAGTCGGTCAAGAGTGGAAACTACCCATGCCATCTAGTGTCCGCCAAAGGTCTACATGACAGCAAGTGGCTACCAATAAACAAGACACTTATTCGCACAAACGTTACAAGACAATCACTCGTCTTTGTTTCTTCGTAGAGCAAATACACTGCAAGTGATCCCTTTGCTTCCCAAGAACGAACGGCAGCCAGTAGATGCAGACTTGCCCGTCTCTTCCATCACTTATGGTTCCATCACTATGGCAATAGCTTCTCCACTTTACCGGACTTGCTCGCGACTGTAGTACATACACACCTCAACAAGTACCCAAAATGCATGAAGCTGAGCCTTTTTGCCATTTACATGCGACGACACATCAATTCGTATGTCGTATGTGCTTCACTTCTACGTTAGTCCTTTCTTCAGCGGTACGAATAAAGTGGTGCAGACATTGCAATTGATTGCCTCGTTGAGACCATTGCCATAATGTGCACCTTCTCTTTCGCCTCTTCCATTTACGTGACAATATCACAGTTGACCGGATCTCCTTTTTGACATCATGACTCGTGGTGTCATTCTAGATTAGGAACTCGCTTCGAATGTCGTAAAACCCGTGAAACGTATTGTAAAAACAGACAGTTCTGCGCACTATATCACATAATACCTCATCGAATAAAGACCATGGCGACAACGGCGTACCAGTTGTGGCTACAAAAGAGCGAGTACAAAGCGCCTCAGCCGCTCTCCACACGCGCTTCCAGCTATGCTTCCGATGCCGAAGTCCACACAAAGTTGGACCCAAAGACGGCCATTCGAACGACAGCTTCGTCGCCTACTTCAAAAAAGTGGCGAAAACTGTCGATTCAGCGTCGAAACGAAAACGCTGCCGAGATGAAACCCGTTGCTTATGTTGCCGCAGGATCTGGTGACGTTCCAGTTGCAGGACAGCAAAATCCGGATAAAGTTGCTACACGGACGCCACAGTGGGAGGAAAACGAACAGCTGACGAACGAGTTGACGATACCGAATCGAACGAAAGCATCGACTGCATTGAGACGAGTATCGACAATGAAAGAGACGAAAAAAGAGCAGTGGAGACAGTGCGTTGGTGCCAAATCCAGTTGTCATTTCGTGACGAGAGAAGAGGAAGATAGGAATATGATACCGATCGAGAGTGGTGCTATGCAGTTGAAGCAGGTGGATGATGGACGGAACCGAAACGCAGGTGTGCTGACTTGTACTAGCACAACAGAACGGTTGTTGTGCAATGTAGAGACGATCAGCAGTGGTGGAGCTATCGGAGGAATCGGATCGGAAGATGGGCACTTTCGACGCTCGTTGCACGGCAAAGACATTCTCAGAACGTCCGAGTGGACCGGAGTTGATAGCGAGGAGTCTACGACGAGGCGCCTTTCATTTTGCAGTGACGACAAAAAAGAGGCGAAACCGAGCACAACGAGTACGAATGGGTTGCCACCAAAGCCCCGTCGGGCGGCGAAACAGAAGAGTGTGAACACCATTTCGCTCGACGAGTGCCAGTACTGGATGGCAGTTGACAGGTTTTCGCATCTAGAGTAGGTGTTTGGCAGATGACGAAGATGTCGTCGTGCGTTTGGTTCTTGTTGCTTTATGTTGGGTAGAATGCATGCGCTTTGAATCACTTGCATGGACATCTGTCCTTGCGAGTGACTTTGAGCTTCAACTCGCGCACAACATGTGTACATCATGATTGACTTGTAACGCTTTACACAGAAATTGATCAATGCATTGATGCAAATTACAGGCGACGCGATAAGCTCCCGGCGCTCGGGTTGTCAAGGTGTCTTACCTTCGTATTCTGCAACGCGCAGAATAGCGCTATCACGGCCAAATTCGAGCAAATCTGGGATGCCAACCATCTTCCCACATGGCACGAAATGTGAATAAACGAAGACGTCTTGTACTGTCGACGCTGCTTCAACAGTGTCGACCGTAGACAGGAGCAATAGTAAAAGAAAGTTGAAGGTCCGATTGTAGCTCGCGCACATTCAACTGTAGTGTAAGAAGAAGTACGTGCATTTCAGAGACACATTACGTGATTGCAGAAATCAAGCGTTACGTATTTGCGAATTGGAAGACGTTGGTAGAATACGAATCTCCGTCGCTCCATGGTGCCCTCATCTCGGACAAACAAATGGTATGCAGACGAGGTTGTTGGATGCCCACAAGACTCTAATGGACCAGAAGCGTCTTTACATTCATTCCACGTCTTCTTGAGACCACCATCTATGAAGCTCATGGAGTTCACGAACAGATTTGATGACTCGCACGCGCCGTTGTATAGGACTGCGTACCGTCCTGATATAAGTGGCAACGACCATGCTCAATCGCTGAACAGGATCGCTCAATTAAGGCCAATAACATACCGAGCGGTCATGGCTACTACAGCGCACTATACCTATCCTTACATCGGATAAACTGCGATCGAGGATGTCGAATCCAATCACAAGTGAAAGAGGTGGTGTTTAAACATTGATCTGCACACCGGATTACAACTCCTCTCGCAACGTGCAATCAAGCGTGGCCCCGCACAAGAAGGCCAAGTCCGACAGCTTTCTGAGCTGGAATTTTGTCTGTATCCCGAGGGATGATATCGTGGTTTCATGCCCTAGTTTGGTCGAGAGATGTGCTCTTTGGGAGTGCCTTTAGGAAAAACGATCATGCTGATTTCCAGGAATGAGCCACTTGCAAGGAAGAGCTGCACTGACTTCCTAAGTTATATTTACAACACCGATTCCAAACTAAATTACGCGGTAGTAGCCTCTTTACTTACAGCGGTACCTTCACTGCGATGGAGCTAGTAGCTACAGCACGGACTTGTCTAGCAACAATGACGACAATGAGTACAATGGTGTCATGGTAATACGGTATCGTCACACTATCGTTCGATACAGCTTCAATTGGCCTTTCAATCCTGTGGCTTTCAGAGCGAACGTGTCCTGTTTCGTGCGTGGCAGAAACGAGAATCACGAGGCTGCTTGACTAGACCTGCGTAGATGCCCAGCCCTTTTCGATACAGTGGATGACGATTGGTATATCCGAAGACTGAACACCGTCTTGGTCTTTCTGTTTGTGGTTCTGCGAGCTTGCTTGATTAGGAAAAGACAAACCAAGACATATATGGCACGATGCATGCTCCTTGTGCCCAAATCGAGCAACCTCTTTTTGTAAGCATATTCTGAGGAACCTCAGGTGTGTATCGCAAGACCGCTCCCAAAACACCTTAACTCAATTTGCACGACTTGGGTACTTTCTCAGCTACGACGTGGCCCGCAAGTTTTCTCGTTCTCAGCATAAGAGCGAGAAAGCGATGATGTACATCTTTATGAGACACTTTACGATCAATATTGAGCAAGCAAAGATATTCAGTCGAAACAGCGTCCGCTTCGTGTGTATTGGGCGAACATGTGCTGCCAGTTTCCAAGACATGGCTATACGGAGTGCCCTCATTACATATATAAGCATGCTCCACCTAAACGTCGAAGCACAGCTTGTAACGAGGCACACCCTTGCGTAACTTAACGCAAGGGATTTGGGTGCCCCGACGGACGTACACGTGGCGAGCGAGGAAGCGTAGGTAGGGTAAAAGTAGAACTGTTATATTAATAAATTAAGTCTTTAAACTACTGTCTCTTCGTTTGACTTAATTCAATTATACTAATATAACTGCATGTATGGTGACGTCTCGTCACCACTCATTGCGCGCGTCTTGCGGCGATTGGTGGGTTGATATCATCACGATATCAACCAATGAACAGACCCTTTGGTCGACCCTTCAATATCACCACTTTGGTGATATTGTTTAAAGAATATCCATCTTATATTCTTTATTGTCACTTTCCTTAAGTGACAATATCATGTAACGGGCTGCCCCGTTACATCACCCCCCTTAACTGATAGTCACCGTGTGACTATCGAAATATGGAGGCCACCCGTTGGCCACCATTGGGACAGGGAGCACTTGTTTGGTCCGTTCCACTCACTTTCCGCTTGACCTCGCATAGTTAACATGTCTATGCGAGGTGACTCAAGACCCACACAGCCTGGTGCTGTGCAAGCCTCTGCGGCAGACGCTTCGTCGTCTGCCGCCCCTTCTTCGCCTGCAGCAACAGGTGCTGCAGGTGCACGCGGTATCACGCCGCGTGCGCACGATGACCCCGATGTGGAGGTCATCTACTCTGGCGAGTCAGACGTGTCTGACTCGGGCAATGCTCCAGAGGCGTCTCGCTCACCGGCGACGCCTCAGTATTCGCCAAGGCCACTGCCGAACGAACGGACTCGTGATTCGCATCACAGTCTGTTCGGCAGTGATGACGATGATCTGGGTGGTGAGTTCTATTCTTCACCACCGCCGGCTCGTGCGTCTTCGCACGAGCGTGATGACGATGGCGCGAGCCGTCGTCAATCTGGGAGCCGTGGTACCGACAAGGGTACCACTGTGAAGCGTGATGAGTTGAAGCCATGGCGTTTGCCCGAACAACTCATCAATAGCCTGTCTCACGAGACAGGCCAACACCATCGATTACCCTTATTCGATGCAACCGAGCTTCACGGCTTGAGTCCCAGCGCGAAGAACTTTCGCGCTGAAGAAGATTTTTATCTCGATGTCTTCCTTAGACATCGATGGTACAATAGCAACCAAAAGCGTGACAAAACATCGCTTTTGGCTGCGTGGAACGCGTTCGTCCAAAACGTAAAGAATTTTGGACGAGAAGGGTGGCTCAAGAAACTTGAGGCAACACGCCTCAGGTTCGAACGGCGAACGCCAACCGGTGCTAGGTACCGGTTGCATTGTTTATCGAGTGAGGCAGGCATTCCTTGCCTCACATGGGGAGACCCTTGTGCGAGTTGTGTTGACAACTCGCAGCGTGCACATAGGGATGTGTACTCCCTAAATTCGCCCTGGGGAAGGGCACATCTCTCGGACGAGATGCGTGACGTGATTGCAAACTTGCAATCCGTCTACAAGCGCCTAGGGCGCGTGTTTACCGATGGGCCACAGGACTCATCGGATGGGTCTCGTCATACTGGTGGACGAGACCTTCAACATCCATTAACAGCTGAGAGCGGGGCTCCCAGCTGTTCCAAGAGGGTGGGTACCCCCGCCACTGGACGAGGTAGCTCGTCCTTGATCCTGAATCGCCACGGTGATTCAAGATACGCTCCACTAGAAAGCGTTGATCACCGTGAGCATCCACCAAAGGATGTGGTGGAGGAGGAAAGACCTCCTCCAGAACCCCAGGCCCACCATCTCGACCCTTACGAGATGGATCGCGCAATCGATGAATTGCGCGATGACTTGAAGCACGAGCGCGACCGACGCTACGCTTTGACCGACACCGTGCGGAAGAACCGCAAGGGTCACGAGGCTGATCGGGCGAGGGATCGCGCCGATTATGCCACGGCGCAGCTTCAGGTCGAGCGGGATGTCCGCTCCTTTTCGGCGAGCTGGCGACAGCTCGCGGAGAGATAACTCGGTTGAATACCGAGGTATCATATCTGCGCGACCAGACGGATCGTCTGGAGCGCGAACGCAAGAACTTGATGGATGTTCTTGAACGTGGGGGCTATCTTCATCGGAAGAAGAAGGCTCGTACTGACAGTACGACCTGAGCCTCCCCACGTAAAACGTAGGATGCGTGCGCATCCTACGTGGCAATTCGAGTGTGTATGCATTGCCCTTGCGATGCAACACTCGAAATGGCCCAATGTATTTCGGCAGTAGTTTACTACTGCCGACACTAGTGACTGCATGTCCAGGTAGGTTTACCGTTGACAGTAGTACTAGGTCATTAACCTTAAATGAAAGAACATTTGCTCTTCCATTCTTGTCTGCGTTCCGTTTCTGACGGTCCACCGCATTTGCGATGGAGTCCTGAACGAAACGGACTACCGCTTCTCGAGTCAGCAGGAAGTTCTCTGCTGACTCTTTGTTTTGTCTAGCAGTGCGCTTCGTGCGCACTGCTAAGAGATTGCTCTCTTCTTCAGCGAGGTTGTCTTCTTCTTCGCTGGCATAATCGTTGGCGATGCTGAATATACCAGCATCGTCATCATCATCCGAATCAATAATAGCGTCTTCGCTATTATTGAGATGATCTTCTTCATCGATGTCGACTTGATCGACATCGGCATCATACGTGACGACGTTTGCGTCGACACGTGATGAGCAAGAGCCAAAACGGTTTTTGCTCGAGCGAGTCCCTCCCCCCCTTATCCAAGAGTCACACTCTAGAAGGGTGGGCACACGTGGATGGCGTAGGCCATTCACGTAAAACGGTGTGTGCTGTGTTGAAGCATGCACCGAATTATTGATGGCGAATTCCACCATGGGTAGGAATTCGCTCCAGCTCGGAAACGAGTGGACATATCCTCGAAGAATCTCTTCGAGGACACGGTTCGCACGTTCCGTCTGACCATCTGTTTCTGGATGGTCAGAAGTGGACATCTTCAATCGTGTTCCGAGAGTATGGAACACGGTTTGCCAAAATTCCGCCGTGAACCGAGGGTCACGGTCGGATACGAGTTCACGGGGTAACCCG